CATCGCCTAGGGTGTACGCGAAGCGTCCAGAATTTAGCGAATCAGCTCACGTAATTAGCTGGTTCTCCCAGCGGCGCCAGCCGGGTCGACAGAGGCGGCCACCTATCGAGGCAGTCGCCCGGCGGCGGGGCCGACACCCTCACGCTGCTGCACCGGATCGCGCTGGCGCTCGACGTCGGAACGGTCCCTTGGCTCCTGGCGGTGCGCACACCAAAACCTCCTCGCGTTGCGAGAAGAAAAAAACAGCGAATTGATGCTTGTGCGTTTTTAGCTGGGCCCCACGAAAGCCTTTCTAAACGACTTAGGATGAGAAGGGCCCACCAAAGCATCGCCGATACATCGGCGATGTATCGGCGACGTCGACGTGAAGCAAATCGGGCTCCGCACCGAGCCGCATCGGCGATGCATCGGCGACACGGCGCGATCCTGCGAACCCATCTACTCCGACCCCATCTAGGAGGCCTAGATCGGCGGTGGACAAATTTCCCTTTAGCAAACCTCCCTGTGGTGAAAACGGCCTGGAACCGAAACCGCCGGACCTGGACCCGCAAAGATGACGGCCGCGACGCCCTCTCGCGAACCGAAAACGGCCGATTCGCGATTCGACGTGTCAGGGTAGGAGGTCTGTCCACCCCAGACGCCCCTGGGTCGTCGCAGAGCGAAATGGACGGCGTCTGGGGCCGTTCCGGATTACACCGGAGCTGGACACGCGCACACGTGAGAAATCCTGCAAATTCGTGGGAAATTCATGGGATTCGGCCCTGGGGGCCCCTCTTGGGGAAGGTTTTCGGCGGCTTCTCTGGTCAACTTCGGGGAAGGTTTTCGGCGGCTCTGACGTGTCAGGGTAGGAGATCTGTCCACCCCCGACTCCACGAGGCCCAGAACGTCGTCGACGCCGACGGCGGTGCTGCAGCTGGTCTGGGGGTCTGCCGGACGTTTCCGGAGGTGCTCGCCGCCGCTGCGGGAGGCGGCTCGGGAGCTGGCCGGGACGGACACCCCTTTGGAGGGGTCCGGGGGGGGACAGGCATTGAGCGGATTTCTGGTAGGGGGCGGAGCGAAGGGTTCTTATCGGGGGTGGACAGGACCCCCTTTAGCAAAACGTGGTTTAGTGAAAACGACCTCGAGCCCAAACCTGGCGGGCGCAAGTCTGGAAGATGACGGCCGCGGCACCCTCTCGAAAACCGAAAGCGGACAATTCACGAATCGACGTGTCAGGGTGGGAGTTCTGTCGACCCCCGATTTTACTGAAAAAGGACCCCTAAACCTTTGGGGGGGGTAGGTTAAGAGGGCCAAGAACATTAGGGACAGGGGCTCGCATCTGCAGATGTATCAGACCAGACCGCCGAGAATTATGATCCCTAATGCAAGGACGGGGCCCTCAGTGAGGTCACGTCTTCATCGTGTTTTTAGGGTTTGGGGTTGTTCTGTTCTCGATAAAAGGGGGGGGGGGGGGGGGGCACTCCGAGCGCCTACGAAGGGGCCGGGGTTTTCTTGGAAATGGAGTTATTGGAACGTTGACGGGGTCGTGGGGGTCGTGGGCTTCTATCGGAACGCAGGCGGGTTTGTATTGGCACGCCTGGGGTGGGGGCTGACAAGATTGGGACGATGCCACGATGCCCGACTGCAGATGTTGCCCCTAAACCATGACGGGCCGCCGTTGGGCAGTCGGCGGTACTGCGACCGAGCCGTGCCCAAAATATACAGAAACAGTTCCCGGAATTTGCCAACATTGAAGGGGCCCTGGGACACACAAATGAATACACACAAATAAAAAGATGCCCGATCTTTTCATACATTTTCTGGGTTTTTGTCTTCCCCCCCACTTCCTGTATTTCCCCATATCTTCTGGGGAGTCGACGATTCATTGTGTCTGTGTGTTTCTTTCTCTCCTGAATCTTGCCGGGCCCCATTTGTGGGGAAGCCGGAAGGTACCGATACCGCTACTCCCCAGGCCTCTCCATGGGCGCGCTCTGACCCGAAACTCGAAACGACGAGGGCCTCCGAGGAGGCCCAAAGAAGGGAACAACTAGGGAAAGGCAGGGCTATGGATACATTCTCCCCTGCTGCATTTGGAAGCCTGGACCTGTCGCGACACACCTTCGATCGCAGCTGCTTTCCCTCGAGTACGCAACCCCCGCGCCGCCGCCTCCCTTGCCTGCGCGCCGCCGGGTCCTGCTTCTCGCGGGCCTTTTCCTCGCGCAGGCGTTCGTTGACCCGCTCCTTGGCGAGCCTGGCGGACACACGCGCACACAAGCGAACAAACGCACAACCCACCCACACACACACACACACACATTCAGACACACACACACACACACACACATCAACACGTACATTCGGACCTCGGACAAAAGAACACCCTTCAAAAACATGAGCCCTTCCACCGGCCGAAACACCCAAAAACCAAACGACCACTCGAGTGTACACTCCACCAGGGTGCACAAATTCGGCACCGACCTCGATCTTAGACCTCGCTCCGACCGTACTTCCGAGCGACGCAACCCGTGCCAAAGCCACTTGGCGGCCGTAGGTCCCGCGGACACGCGCGCGAGCTAGGTAGAAACACGATTGTCGATGGGGCCTCACGGGGGGCGACGGGGGCGCTGGCCGCAGCGGGGCGCCGGTGGCTCAGGGAGGGGGGGGGGCGGCAGCGGGGCCGCCGCCAAGTGCCGGACCAGGAAGGCGCCAAACGGGCGCCCGGGGCGGCGAGAGAGCCGACGGCGGCCAGGCGCACTTTTTGCGTCGGCGGCTAGGCAGAGCGACGGCGCTGGCGACGAAACGTTACTGGGGCAAAACACGAACGAAGCCGCAATGCAAGGCGCAAAGGGGGCCCTGTGGCGAGGAAAGCAAGCAGGGGGGAAAGAGGGAGGGAGGAGAGGGGGCCAGTCGCCGCGCAAAATCAGCTCGGTGCCTCAGGCGCGCCCGCGCGCGCGGCTTGGCGGGCCCGCAAAACCGCCCGCCAAGCGCCCTCGTCGCCTCCGGTCCGCGCAGGCGGCAGCAGGAGCAGCGCGCCCACGAGCGGCGGCAAGGCGGGAGCCCAGCCACCGCATGGGCGAGCAGCCTAGGCGCCCCACCGCGGCGCCGTGCAGCCGCACTGCAGGCAGGCTAATTACCCAGCCCGGCCCCTGCGGGGCGGCGTGGGCCCTCCAGAATCGCCCGCCGAAGAGCGCCTGGGCGGCAGCCGCCGCGGGCTGCGGCAGTGGGCGCCGCAGAGGCTGCGGGGCCTGCGGAGCTGCTGGCGGCGCCTGCAGCGGCGGCCCGCAGCCGCCGGCCGCCGCGCGTCGCTGGCCTGCCGTGCGCCGGACGGCTGCCCATCGGCGCCGCACTGGGGGCCAGCCTGGCGCGTTGCAGTCGCGGTTGGCCCTGAGGGCCGCCAGCTCCACCGCCGCCAGAGCCCGCTGGACGCCCTCCAGCGCCTGCAGCTGCCGCTCGCGCTGCTGCAGCGAAGCCAGGGCGGGCAGGCGCGCCCGCGCGGCCGCGCCAGCTAGCCTGTCGGCCGCCGCGTTGTCAACGTGGTCCTCGGGGGAGAGCCCCCTCCCCCGCGCCTCCTCCTCCTCCTCCTCCTCCTCCTCCTCCTCCTCCTCCTCCTCCTCCTCGTCCAAATAAGCGCTTGACCCAGCGGGCCCTCAGCCAGTCGGTCCTGCAGTGCGGGGCCAACTGGTCCCAGAGGTTGGCGTGCGACCACTCCATGGGCGTCGCCCCGCCCCAGAGCCACGCCACGCCGTTGCTCACGTACTTCAAATTCGTGATGACCTCCACCGGCACACCAGCCAGCCCAAGCGCCTGCACGGCAGCCAAAAGCTCGGCGCGCTGCGCGGTCTGCGCGCCGCGCGGTCTGCAACGCAAGGCCAGACACACACACACACACACACACACACACACGCGCGCACGCACGCACGCACGCACGCACGCACGCAAGCACGCACGCTCGCACGCTCGCACGCTCGCACGCTCGCACGCACGCACGCTCGCTCGCACGCACGCACGCACGACCGCACGCACGCACGCTTGCACGCACACGCGCACGCACGCACGCACGCACGCACGCACGCACGCACGCACGCACGCACGCACGCACGCACGCACGCTCGCTCACGCACGCACGCACGCACGCACGCACGCACGCACGCACGCACGCACGCACGCACGCACGCACGCACGCACGCACGCACGCACGCACGCACGCACGCACGCACGCACGCACGCACGCACGCACGCACGCGCACGCACGCACGCACGCACGCACGCACGCACGCACGCACGCACGCACGCACGCACGCACGCACGCACGCAAGCAAGCACACACACACACACACACACACACACACACACTTGCGTCGGCGGCTGGGCAAAGGGTGACTGCTCTGGCGATCACGCATCAGGGGGGCGCACGAGATGCGAATTCGGCCGCTATGCACGCAGGGGGAGGAAACCCCGGCGCGACGGGGAGAGAGGAAGCCGGGCCCGCTGAAGGCAAGTCACCGGCTGCGGCTGGAGGAGCGCCGAAGGGGGGGGGGGGAGGCGCTGGGCACCAGCCTGGGGGGAAGGGGGAGCAGCAGCTGCGCTACGGTTGCCACACCCATGGGGGAGCCGGCGGAGTGGGCGGACCCCGGGGTGGGTCGGAGCGCCGAGACCCGAGGGCCCACGAGGCGCGGCGGGAGGCGTGGAGGGCGGAGCGCAGGCGGCCGGGCGAGCGCTGCGCTGGCAACGGCAAGCGCAGGCCGGCGAGGAGGCGGAGGACAAAGGACGAAGAGGCGGAGCCACGCCACCAAGGGGAGCGGCGTGGAGCTGGGAGTGCCACCAGGGGGGCGGGCGAGCGGAGCCCAGCGGAGAGGCGAGGCGCCGAGACCTGGAGGCCTGCGAGGCGCGGCGGGAGGCGCGGCGGGAGGCGCGGAGGGCGGAGCGCAAGCGGCGCAGGCGGCGAGAAGGCGAAGGACAGAGGGCGAAGACAGCCGAAGGGCGGGCGGGACTCGGCGGCGGCCGAGCACAGCCAGGAGGGGGAGCGGCACAGGCGATGCGGTTACCACACCACTGGGGGAGTAGGAGGGGCAACCGGACCCATGGGAGGCCCGAAGCGCCGAGACCTGGGGGCCTAATAAGTTACGAGGCGCGGCGGGAGGCGTGAAGGGCGCAGCGCCGGCAGGCCAAGTGCGCCGCACTGGGCGCGGCAAGCGCAGGCCGGCGTGTAGGCGACGAACAGTGGCGAAGAGAGAAAGATAGAGAGAGAGAGAGAACAAACAAACAAAAAAAAAAAAAAAAAAAAAAAAAAAAACCCGGGGGGGCGGCGTGGGGCCGGGAGCGCCAGCGGGGAGCGGGCGGGCGCCGAGGCCAGAGGGCCCACGAGGCGCGGGGGCAGGAGGGCAGTGCAGGGCGCCACGGCGGTGAGGCGGCGACCCCACCACCAGCAGCTGGATGGGATGGTCGAGGGGCCGGCCTGGAAGCCAGGCGGGGGGGCGGGGGCCCAGGCCGGGGGCGGCCGGGGTCGCCCAGCCGGCACAGGGCACGGCAGAGCAGCGGAGGGTGCCACGGGCGGGGCCCGGGCGGAGCATGCAGAAGGCCGGCGAGCCCCCCAGCCAGAGCGAGGGGGTGCAGCGGCAAGACAGGGCACCATCGAGGCGGGAATGGGGGGAGCCCAGGGGCCAACGGCGGGCGGCAAGTCCAGCCCACCGAGGCACACGCAGCAGCCACCTCCGGGAAGGGCGGCGGCCCTGGGCGGCGACCGAGAAGCCGCAGAGGAGGCACCCCAAGCGGCAGCGGAAAAGGAACGGCAAAGCGGCGCAGCGCGGCACAGACACGCACACACGCACGCAAACACACGCACACACAAACACACACCGCGCGCACACACACGAACACGCACACACACACACACACACACACAGGCGCACGCGCACGCGCACGCGCACGCGCACGCGCACGCGCACGCACGCACAGACACGCACTAGCAGACACACTCACACACACACAGGTCCTCCAGCGGCGAGGTGGCGGCACCGTCGCGGCGGGGCAGGCTGGGACACACGCGCACAGGTGAGTGCACACCTGGCGTCGCAGATGAATGGGTTGGGCGTGGACACACACAAACACATAACACATAACACTTGCACACACATCCTTATCCTTACAAGCATACTCCGAGTTTCTTACTGAGCGTCAGGGGGGCGTCACCCCCGCCGACGGCCCCAATCGATCCGCGCCGCGGGCAGCCACCGCGCGCCGAAGGCGCTCCGACCCCCGTCGCGGCTTGACGACGAGGCGAGGTCGACCCCCGTCGGGGGGTTCCCCCCCAGGCGTTTCGAGAAACCCAAAGTACACACGCATCCTTCTCTTTATCATACCAAACAAAAACCATGCAGAGTCGACGTGCCAGGTACGGACAAGCTCTCGACTTGCTCTCCCGATGTGGCACATCGTGGCTCAGCCTGCTCGTCATGCTGTACGCAGGGAGGCAAGGCTATACTGGTCAATTCTTGAACGAGCGTGCTGATCGGCCAGAGGTGGTGTTGATGGGATCTCATGTTAGGTCGGGCCCCCTACAGGCGGATTTGTAAGAAACATGAATACTTTAATTACACATATTCGAAAAATAGAAACATCGTCCCCTGACTATCTTTCCTGCTATGTTTGAATTTCCTCCTGTAGAGGGACACGCCCGACTTAAATCTCATGTGGCCCTGCTGATGCTCAGCGCTTGGCGGGCCGCTCTGGCGAACCCGGGTGCTTGTGCGGACAGGCACATCCTGCTGAGGCTCCTCTCTTGGGCGACGAGGGCAAGCGGCTCTTAAGTCAGGCCGGGCGCGTCCTCCTACAGCCAGATTTTGGACGAACAATCATGCATAGTCATCGAATACTCAAGAATCTTCAAAAGTCGTCCCCAGACTATTTGTTTCACCACTTTGGATATTCCTCCTGTAGAGGGACACGCCCGACTTAAACTCTTACGCAAGATGACGTAGCGACCTTAAGCGATGGCTTACGCGGGCCGAAGGTGTGGAATGCTGCACTGGAAACGGTAGCGCTTACGCTCGACCCTGCGCGGGCAACTTACCCGCGAACATCGGCGCAGCCGACCCCTTCTTGCTCCGTCGCTCATGCTCCCCAAAAAAAAACAGATGTATTTTGTTGGACGCCCGGAATGGGTATGGAAAAAATGGGTGCCATGCCCAACAGCAAATGCTGTCCGAAACCAACAGCGGCCGCTGTTGGGCAGGCGGCCTTCCGTCTCAAGAGGACACAGGACGCGGCGGCGCGGACAGCGAGTCCGGTTCAGAATGAACCAGAACTGCTGTTGGGCATTAGGCCCAATATTTCCGTAAATCGTGTCGTTCGTGCCGAGTGCAGTCTTTTCCGCACGCGGCCCCTAATAACGTCCCGACCACCTCCCCCGGCCATGTCTTCGCCCCGCCTCGTTTGCTGACGGCCCCAGGCCTGGGAGAAGGAGGAGGAGGAGGAGGAGGAGGAGGAGGAGGAGGAGGAGGAGGCGGAGGAGGAGGAGGAGGGAGGAGGAGGAGGAGGAGGAGCACCTCTCGGGCCGATGCGTCTCCTGATGCGCCGGAGGCCTGGCCCGGTCGCCCTGCGCCCGCGCGATGGCGCAGCCCCCGCCCTCCGCGGGCCTGGCGAGCTCCCGCGCCTTGGCGTCGGCCTCCTCGTGGCCTCGGCAGCCCCCTCGCACGCCGCGCGCGGACTCTCCGCCCCTCGTCGCCCCCATCCTCGCCCTCCCGGGCCCCCTGGCCGCCTGCACTCCTCTCGGCGGGGAGGAGGGCCACAGAGGCCAAGGCAGCGCTGCAGCGCGCCGCCCCTTCCGACGAGAAGTCGTCCTGCCCCATCGCGCGGACCCCTCGCCGCGAGGCTCGCCCTCCCGTCCTCGTCGTACTCCCCCTCCCACTCTGACTGCGCCTCCCTGGCGCCACCCCTGCACCCCTCCTCCTTCTCCTCGTCTCCCTCTCCCTCCTCCGCCTCCCTCTGGCCCCTCCGCCTCCTCCTGCTCAGTACTGCTCCTATCCAGCCGTCTCGATCGTTCTGCTCGCCTCGTTCTGCTCGACTCAGAACATGCCGGTCCGAAACGAAAATGCACTTTGGGGCCCTGGTGAACCCCGTGACGCCATGGGACCATCCAAAGGAGCTTCGCGAGAGAAAACCACGGCAATGAAGCGAACGGCAGGGCGAGCGTCGCCAACAGAAACCGTTCCTCTCGGGGACGCACTGACCCTGCAGGATCCTGCATGGTTCGTATCGCCTTGCGGGATCCTGCAGGATCCTGCAGGATCCTGCATGGCTAGTATCGCCTTTTGGCCTTGCAGGATCCTGCAGGATCGTCCGGGTCAGTGCACCCCTTGCTGTGCAGGATCCTGCAAGATGCGGCGCTCTGGCCGACCCCCGTTGGCATTGACCCCCGTCTCAATGAGCATAGTTTAACCGATCCCCATCCCCACCAGCGTGGGCTAGGCCGATTTACCCCCCTGATGGGGATACAGGCTGCTTTCTTCGGCTTTCGAGGGGTAGATCCTCCACTGGGGTGGTGAGACGGTGGGGCTCGAGATGGGAGTGAAGATGGGGATAGGGATCGGTTACGTAAACGGTGCTGACTCAAGCCTCCGGAATCCCCCTCGTCGCCGGCATCGCAAGCAGCATGAGCAGCCTCCCCAACCGCCCTCTCTCCCCCGGCCGCCCGCCCCGCCCCGAGGCGATCCGCGCAGCCCGCGCACGCGCCCGCCGGCGCCGCCCTCCCCGAGCGCCGAGGCGAAGGCGGGCGCGAACGGAGCGATCCACAAGAGGCGAACCCCGGACGGCTCCTCGTCGCGTCCCTCCTCCTCCCCCCCCCCCGCAGCTGCCATGCCACGCCCCGACCAACCACTTCATCATGTACTATTCGTCCACCACCTCCTCCTACTCCGACTCCTTCTACTCCGGAGCATCCTTCTCCCGCCTCCCTCCACCTTCCTCCGCCTTTCCTACTCCTGCTCCTCCTCCTGCTCCTCCTCCTCCCCCCTCTGCTCCTCCTCCTCCTCCTCCTCCTCCTCCTCCTCCTCCTCTCCTCCTCCTCCTCCTCCTCCTCCTCCTCCTCCTCCTCCTCCCCCTCCCCGTCCTCCCCGATGATGTTTCTCCATCCTCCATCTCATCCTCCCTCCTGTTTGCATTCCCCCTCCTCCTCCATCTTCTCCTCCTCTTCCTCCTCCTCTCCTTTCCTCCTTCCCTCATTCCCCCCTTCCTCCCTCCTCCTCCCTTCTTGGCTTTTCTCCTCCCTACCTTCCCCCCGCCCCCCCACAGCCCCCTCCCTCTCACACACAAACGCACACAACACACACACACACACACTCACACAAGCACACACACACACACACACACACACCCTACGACGCCGATGACGACGACGACGCCGACCGACGACGACGACGCCGACGCTGCCGCTGAGCAAGGAGCGTGCCTGCCTCTCCTCTGCTTGGCGACGCTCGCACTCGCGCTGGTCCCGCAGCTCGCGCCGACGGCGCGCGCGGACGCGCTCCTGTGGCGGCGCGTGCCCGCTCTCTCATCTGCTCCCCATCTGCCTCCCTGCCTTCCACCCTGCGTGCCTGCCCCCTTCCATCCCGCCCCTCCTCCTCCTCCTCCTCCGCCTCCTCCTCCTCCTCCTCCTCCTCCAACTCGTTCTCCTTCTCCTCATCCTCCTCCTCCTCCTCCTCCTGCTCCTCCTCCTCCTCCTCATTCTCCTCCTCATTCTCCTCCTCGTCATCATCAGCAGCATCAGAAGCATCATCATCAGCACCTCAATCAACAGCATCATCAGCATCATCATCAGCAGCATCAGCATCATCGTCAGCATTGTCGTCATCATCATCAGCCGCATAATCATCAGCATCATCAATCATTAGCAGCATCAGCAACATCATTAGCATCAGCATCATGACCGCCATCAGTAGCAGCATCAGCATCATAGTCATCAACGTCAACATCGTCAGCTTCGGCATCATCACCATCATCGTCATCATCATCAGCATCCTCCTCATTTCATCATCATCAGCATCATCAGCAACATCACCAGCATCATCATCACCATCATCAGCATCATCGTCATCAGCATCATCATCATTGGCAACACCAGCAGCATCATCATCAGCAGCACTAACACCATCCTCATCATCAGCATCAGCATCAACCACATCGTCATCAGCGCCGGTGTCATCATCACCATCAGCAGCAGCAGCCGTATCATCATCTGTGACAGCATCATCATCAGCAGCATCATCATCAGCAGAAACATCGGCATCACCATAATCATCATCATCCTCATCATCAGCAGTACCACCGAACACAGCATCATCATCATCATTATCAGCGTCATGAGCATCCTTATCACCATTACTATCAGCATCAACAGCAGCTACACCACCATGGTCAGTATCATCATCATCATCATCATCATCATCATCATCATCATCATCAGCAGCAGCAGCAGCATCATCAGCATCGTCATCGTCATCACAATCAGCACCATTACCATAAGCATTATCATCAGCAGCAGCGTAATCATCGTCGTCATCATTATTCTAATCAGCAACAGCAGCCTCAGCAGCATCCACATCATCAGCAGCAGCAGCAGCATTAGCACCATCATCATCGACAATAGCAACAGCATCATCAATAGGCGACACTACCAACATCTCTCCATCATCAGAATCATCAGATGAATCATCATCATCATCGTCATCATCACCGTCTTCGTCGTCGATGTCGTCATCATCATCATCATCATCATCGTCATCATCATCATCATCATCATATCATCAACATCATCATCATAATAGGCATCATAATCAGCATCGTCATCATCATTATCATCATCATCATTATGGCCATCATCATCATCATCATCATCATCATCATCCACATCCACATCATCATCATCATCATCATCATCATCATCATCATCATCATCATCATCATCCTCGTCATCAGCATCATCACCATCATCATCATCATCATCATCATCATCATCATCATCATCGTCAGTATCAGCATGATCAGCATCAACATCAACATTAGCGTCAACATCACCAACATCATCACACTCAGAGGGGGGGCACTCAAACAGGGCGGCTCACGCAAGCTTTCACGGGCTTGTAAAGACCAACGAAACATCTGTCCATTTCGTAGCGTCGCGCAGAGGCCCTCCAATATTTCCCGCTCCGTGCTCCAGCCGGTCGAACTCGCCCGCTCGTTCCTGGGTCTCCTGGGTCTCCTGCGCTCCCCTGCGTGGCCCCGAAACACCGACCTCCTCCTCCTCCTCCTCCTCCTCCTCCTCCCCCCCTCCCCCTTCGCCTCCTCCTCACCTCCATCTCCTCCTCCTCCTCCTCCTCCTCCTCCTCCTCCTCCTCCTCCTCCTCCTATTCCTCCTCCTCCTCTTCCTCCTCCTCCTCCTCCTCCTCCTCCCCCTTCTCCCCCTCCCCGTCCATCCCCCTCATGGCCTGGCCTCATGCGAATCCAGCGGCCTCGCTCCATCAGCGACGGGCCCCCCTCGCGCAAACCAGGCGCGGAGTGCCTTCGCAACCGCACCCGCACCGGCGATGAGACTGAGGCTTCAAAACCAACATCGGGCCAAGATCACGTTGGATGTCTCGCCCAATCACCCGTTCACTTGTTTGCGATGTTTGGGGCGACAAGGAAGTCGGCGCGAAACTAGTATTGGGCCATGATGTACGCCTTCGCACTTTCAAAACACTCCAGCCCCTCCGCCCTGTGTCAGCCCCAGGCCCTCAGAAGCGGGACACCCCGCGCCGTGGGCCACCCGGGCGTGGGCGGCCGGCGAGAGGGAGAGACGAGAGACGGCGAGAGGATGACAGACTGTGGGGGGGGAGGGCCCCGCCAGCGTGACTGCCAGGCGACAAGAGAGGGGCGGCAAGCACACGCTGGACCGGGGCGTGCGGACTCTACAGCCGCCAGACAGAGGGAGAAGACAAGGCAGGTTCGCCGTCGTGGAGCCGAATCACGGGCAGCGCTGCCGCCGTGGCGCACACGCAAGCAAAACTCCATTTCCCTGCTGAAACGGGATCCCCCTCCACCTCCGAACGCGCCCACGCCCTCCTCCTAAGACAACGACCTCGATCTCGACTTCGCCCTCGCCGAAGGCGAGGGCGAAAACGACGACAACGACGAGGACGACGACGCCCTCGACGTCGACGACGACGACGAAGACGACAACGACGACGACGACCTCGACGACCAGAACGACGGCGACACCAAAGACGACAAGTACGACCGACGACGACGCCGATGGCGACGACCGACGAAGCCGACCTCGACGACGATCGACGACGACGACGACAGCCTCGACCTCGACGACGACGACGACTACGACGACGACGCGTCCGACCTCGACGGCAACAACGACGACACCGCCCTCGACGAAAACCAGCCGACGAAAGCCCATGACCGACGACCGACGGCGACGGCGAAAGCGTCTCCTCCGCGTGGCGCGCCGCGGCGTTCTCATCCGAGCCTCTTCACGGGGGGGGGCGCAGCGCAGCCCATCGTCGGCGGGTCGGTCGGTGGGCCGTCGTCGTCGTTAAGATCACCGTCGTGAGTCGCTGATGCCGTCGTCGTCGAGATCGAGGCCGAAGGTCAAGAACGTTGCCGTCGTCGTCGAGATCGAGGTTGACGGCCAGGGTCATCGTCGCCAGTCGGTCTCCCTTCCTCCCTACCTGTGGGCGAGATTCGACGTCCATATGTTGTTCCTACCTCCTTCTCCTCATGCTCCTCCTGCTCCTCCTCCTCCTCATCCTTCTCCTCCTCCTCATCCTCCTCCTCCTCCTCTTCCTCCTCCTCCTCCTCCCCCCTCATTCAGCTCTCCACCCCCTGCTCCTCCTGCTCCTCCTCCTCCTCCTTCTCCCCCTCCTCCTCCTTCTCCTCCTCCTCCTCCTCCTTCTCCTCCTAGGGGCCAGCACGTATGGCATGGAGCGAAGACGGCTCGCCACTCGCCCCAGCAAGAGAACCACGAGAGCAGGCCCCCATTGTACCGACCAAGGCATCGCCAACGACCCCGAGTGCCAGCAGCCGAGATGATTTGTGGCAGAGGCCTCCGATGATCGCCGAGAAACCCAGCACGACCTACGAGTGGCCATATACCGATGCGAGAGAGAAGCGACACGGTTGAGCGAAGCAGCGAGAGGCTGAGGCTGAGCATACTTTTTTCCCAGTGGATCCTAGGTCGCAGCCAGTAGCAAGACAGACCTGGCACACGGTGTGCCCTCCCATTAGAAAGGTAGTGGGGACGGGACGACATCGACAGGTACTAGGCCGCTCCTTGTTTCGTTTGTTGTTGTTAGAGAGCCGCCGCCTACCCTGAATGGGAGTGGGGACGGGACGACACAGTCAAGTTCCAGGCCCCGCCGCCCATAGCATGCATGAGTTGTGGGGTGGAGGGGGTGAGAGGAGGGGAGTGGAGGGGAGAGGAGGAAGGGTGGCTCCCGTCCTGTGGCCGTCCGTCTGGACGAGACCACGGCCACAGCCGCCGTTCAGTTCGCAGAATTATTGAGGCAAGGTCCGCCCTGCCGAGGGGGCTCCCCTCCCCCCCCACAGGTTGGGCGAGGGGTCTCCCTAGGCTGCCCTTCAGAAATCTCGGAAGGGTCCAGCATCCATATGTACTCTGCAGAGGTCTAGAAGCGTTGCATGCAGCCTCTTGCACGACCTCCGAGCTTCTTGTCCTTGTCCTTGTCCTTGTCCTTGTCCTTCTCCTCCTCCTCCTCCTCCTCCTCCTCCTCCTCCTCCTCCTCCTCCTCCTCCTCCTCCTCCTCCCCCTCCTCTCAAACCGCCCTCCTCATCGTCCTCCTTAAACCACCCTCCTCCATCCTCTTCGTCCTCCTTCTCCTCCACACCCCTCTTCTATCCCTCTCCTCCTCCTCCTCCTCCTCCTCCTCCTCCTCCTCCTCCACCCCCCTCCTCCATCATCCTCCTCCTCCACCCCGCTCTTCCTCCTGGAGCCTCCTCCATCCTCCCCATCCCTCCCCTTCCCGCTGCCCGCCTGTCTGACCCACGGCCAAAGCACCGCTCGAATCCAGTCCTCCATGCTCTTCGGTGCAGCTGCAGCCCTGGCCCGAGTTCCTAGGCGCGCCAAGCCGTGGCGACGAGGCCCGTCGCTCGCCCTCTCCCCCTGGTCCTCCCCCCCTTCCCCCTCCCTCTCACTCCTCCTCCTCCCCGGAGGCCTCGGAGATCCACAGGGGGGGGGGGGGCCTCGAGGTCCCCTGAGGCCCCCCGAGGCCCCAGGAGTCCTTCGGAGGCCTCCACGGGCCAGAAACGGGCCCGCACGCCTCAACCGTCGATCCTCGCACTTCCTCCTCCTCTTCCCCCTCCTGCTCCTGCTCCTCCTCCCTCCTCCTCCTCCACCTCCTCCTCCTCCTCCTCCTCGATCCTCAACCTCCTGCTCGTCCTCTTATCGTTTGTCTTGGAATGCTTGGAACCCATTTTTTCACGATGCGTCAAAACGCCCGTGACAGGCCCCACTCCCCTCCCCCCCTGGTCACGTCACGATTCGCGCCAGCGTCTTGTGGGAATTAGAAACTCCTCAGCATCCCGAGACGGCGCCGGCGCGAATCGTTAAGTGGCTGGCCCACTCCCCCTCCCTTCCTTTCGGTCGGGCATGTCCGCCTACGGGCGGAGCTTGGACGAAAAATCCGCCAGCCCCTTTGCGAGGCCACCCGGCCGCGAGGATGAGGATTGCAACTCCCTGTTCCAATTGCAATTTTCAATTTCAACTGTTGCAGTCCCGCTTTCTGCTTCCTTACTGTTAATTGTAGCTGTCCGCGCGAGGGGTGAGAGCCCCAAACAGGTTTGTTTTACCACGCCCTGGGAGGGTTCTCAGAATTCGCGGAGGGGCGTCGGACGCAGGGAAATACTTGATATCCGCGCCCCCGAAACCATAATTCCTAGCATATTACGCCATATTCGAGTCCCCGAGGCCATAAACCCTAGTAAATTACACAATGCTCGCGTCCCCGAATCCATCATCATGATCATCATCATCATCATCATCATCATCATCATCATCATCATCATCATCATCAGCAGCAGCAGCAGCAGCAGCAGCATCAGCATCATCATAATCAGCATCATCATAATCAGCATCAGCATCAGCATCATCATCATCATTCCCATCATCATCATCATCATCATCATCATCATCATCACCATCATCATCATCATCATCCATCATCATCATCCTCATCATCATCGTCATTATCATCATCCTCATCATCATCATCCTCGTCAACATCATCCTCATCCTCATCATCATCATCCTCATCCTCATCATCATCACCATTATCCTCATCATCCTCATCCTCATCATCCTCATCATCAGCATCATCATCATCAGCATCCTCATCATCATGATCCTCATCATCAGCATCATCATCATGATCAGCATCCTCATCACCATCATCATCCTCACCATCATCATCAGCATAATCACCATCATCAGCATCATCATCAGCATCATCAGCATCATCATCAGCATCATCAGCATCATCAGACTCATCATCACCATCATCATCCTCATCAGTACCAGCATCATCAGCATCATCAGCATCAGCATCAGCATCCTCATCCTCAGCATCATCAACATCATCATCATCATCATCCTCATCATCAGCATCAGCATCCTCATCATCATCCCCATCATCATCATCCTCATTATCACCATCCTCATCATCATCAGCATCATCATCCTGAAAATAATCATCATCATCCTCATCATCATCACCCTCATCATCCTCTTCAGCATCATTATCACCATCCTAATCCTCATCATCATCATCCCCATCATCATCAGCATCATCATCATTATCCTCATCATCATAAACATCATCATCATCACCCTCATCATCATCATCCTAATGATATCACCAGATCATCAGCATCATGATTATCAGCATCCTCATCAGCATCATCATCATCAGCATCCTCATCATCAGCATCATCAGCATCATCATCATCCTCAGTATCATCCTCATCAGCATCATCATCATCAGCACCATCAGCATCGTCATCATCATCCTCATCATCACCATCATCATCATCGAAATCATCAGACCCAGCATCATCATCATCAGCGACAGAATCATCATCATCATCATCATCATCATCATCATCATCATCATCATCAGCATCCTCATCATCATCATCATGCGCCTCAGCATCAACATCAGCATCATCATCATCGGTCCTCCCCATCACCCCTCCTGTTCCTCAGCATCCTCATCATCATCATCATCATCATCAGCATCATCATCAGCATAATCACCATCATCAGCATCATCATCAGCATCATCATCAGCATCATCATCCTCATCATCCTCATCATCAGCAGCAGCATCAGCAGCATGATCGTCATCACTCTCAACATCGTCGTCCTCATCCCCATCATCATCATCCTCATCATCATCAGCATCATCAGCATCATCATCATCAGCATCAGCATCAGCATCAGCATCATCATCAGCATCATCATCAGCATCATCATCATCATCATCATCCTCATAATCATCCGCATCATCATCATCCTCATCATCACCATCAGCGGCATCATCATCATTCTCAGCATCATCATCATACGTCCTCCTCCCTCTACCTCCTGTTCCTCATCATCACCATCATTATCATCATCATCATCATCATCAGCCTAATCATCATCATCATCATCATCATCAGCATCCTCATCTTCGTCCTCATCATCATCCTCATCACCAGCCTAATCATCATCATCATCAGCATCATTATCCGCATCATCATCAGCATCCTCATCATCCTCATCATCATCATCATCCTCAGCATCGACATCAGCATCTTCATCATCACCATCATCCTCATCAGTATCATCATCAACATCATCAGCATCATCATCATAACCATCATCATCAGCATCAGCGTCAGCATCATCAGCATCATCATCAGCATCCTCAGAAGCATCATCATCATCATCCTCAGCATCGCCATCATCATCATCATCATCATCATCATCATCAGCATCATCATCAGCATCATCGTCATCCTCCTCCCTCCCCCTCCTGTTCCTCATCATCATCATCACCCTCGTCATCATCATCCTCATCATCATCATCCGCATGCTCATCCGTATCATCATCATCCTCATCAGCATGATCATATGCATCATGATCATCCTCACACTTATCATGATCATCATCCGCATCATCATCCCCATCGCCCTCAGCATCATCATCATCCTCAGCAACATCAGCATCACCCTCATCATCATCCTCATCATCAGCATCATCCTCATCATCATCAGCATCATCTGCATCGTCAGCACCATCATCATCATCATCATCATCATCATCATCATCATCATCATCCTCAGCAGCATCATCATCATCCTCAGCAACTTCATCATCATCATCATCGTCATCATCCTCATCATCAGACCTCCTCCCTCCCCCTCCTGTTCCTCCTCGTCATCATCATCATCATCATCATCATCCACATCCT